CGGCGAGGCGGAGAGGCCTGAACGCGGCTAATCGGATCAAAAGTAAGTGATGGCGCTATTCTGCTTGAAAAACACCATTTGTAAGAACCGGGCCTGCTTGTCCTGTCTTCGTTTGCGTATTCACGGCAAGCCGGCGGAGGACAGGAAGCCCTCCTCCCTCTTCCCGTAGTTAGTCTGGAGAAAGGTCAGAGAAAAGTGTTTCCCTCGGAGCGCCGCGCAGCAATAAACTACTGGTAAACACAAAGCAAGACGGATTCAGGCTGCCGCCGCCATTAGTGATTTATACTAATCCGTTTCTTCCTCAGCCTGCCGTTAAGCTCGGAAATTACACATTCCGTCACGAGGAGCCGCTCTCACCTGAGTATTGGATTACCGCAACAAAATATGAATAATTAATACTGAGAAATAGGTTCCTGGCAACAGGAATAGCTGCAATTTAATAATGAGTATTACGTTTCAACCTCCTGCGCTGAATCCGTTTCATCTTCTCTGGTATCTCCACTGAGGGAGTCGCTGCCTCCTCTTCCTCATCTCTACACGCTTTATTTGGTCCACAACTTCAACGTTTCCTCAGATTTTATTAGTTTTTGTAAAGTATTTCAACCAGATGTTTTAATTTGGGGAATGTGTGTGTTCTGACTTTCATCCTGCCTTTCTTTAGTCAACTAACAGTCATCAAATCAATTAAAATCAACTTTAAAATACTTTATTTCTCCTAAAGAGAAAACAAACAATCTCCACATTGTTTACATTTGTAGCAGTCAGTTCTACAACCAACCTAAAACAGTCTCTGACTGAAGACTGTTGCTATCATTACATGCTAACAGCCTAATATCAGCAGCAGAGACGATATTCCACAGTAACATGTCCTGGATGACACCAAGCTCTGCATCTGCTTATCCTCCACTCCAACATCGTAGTTACAAAATGTGGAAAAGTTCAAGGAGTGCGATGAACTGCAACTACAGTTTTGTCTTGTCCTGCTCAAGCAATTCAAACTGAACACCAGAAAAATCAGTAAACTCAAACTACAATCACTCAGAGTCCCCTACTCCAACATCACAGAGATGTTGGAGTAGGGGATAAGATCCTTGTCCATTATGAGTGATGGAAGACATGGTTTGAACTTCCCTTCAATCTCTCTGCATCAGTGAAGCCTCCTTGTCAACTCCTCAGGAGTTTGGGGTCAAAGTTCAAACCTTTCAAATCCTAAATTAGAAACAAACATTTTAAACTTAAAATTCAGACTTAGAAAAACTAAGTATGAGGAAATGAAAACAAAGTTTATGCAAAGTTTTGATGCATTCTGGAACATTTTATGCTTTTAAATTAAAATGAATAAAAATGAGAAAACAAAGTATTTTTGTTAATGTTTTCAAAATTTCTGCTATGTATATTATAATCTTGAGCAGCAGGGGGCGGTATGTTGGGAATTATTTTAATGAAGTATTTCACCATTTTAAAACAAATTTAAGCTTAATTAACTTTACTCCATTTAAATGCTAAATTTGAAACTAAAACATGGTATATTTTAAATTATGACCTAATAAAAACTGTAAATAAGGGAATAGGACGACAAATTTAAGGCAAAATTTAGATTCCTGCAGTTTTATACACAAAATGAAGAAAGTCCTCGCAGCATAATACTGCCACCACCTTGTTTCACTATAAAGATGGTGTGCTATTGTATATATTTGTGTAAATTTCAGCATAATTCAGGTTTTTATTTGTGGAAATGGTAAAATGGGAACATGTGAAGGGTGTGATTACTTTTCCTGGGTTCCTCCTGTTTTTTCCTCCAATAAGCCGGCGATGAATAAATGAGAAAAACCCACCCAGGGGTGATCAGACGGCCACAAACCCCTGTCATCTGTCTCCTGGAGCTGCCAGGCAGAAGAGGGGAGAAGGAGGAGAAGAAGAAAGAGAGGAAGAGGAGGAGGAGGAGAGCCAGGATTTCTTCTTCATCTTCCTCTCCCTTCCTCTCTGGCTCGGCATTATTCTGTCAGAGGTGAGACGGAAGAAGAACAGGCTCATTTTCGCCTTGCCAGACGACCAACGGCGATCTGCCATTTGCTCAAAAAAAAAAAAAAAAAAAATGGCAGATATTCCATACATCCATCTTTATTTAATGAGAGAATACACGAGGACGGAAGGAAGGGAAGGAGACGGAGAGAGGGGGGAAAAACTTTGCTACATATGGAGCGCTTCTTACAACTAATCAGCAGACTGTTGGTGATTGGGGCCGCGGGCGCCAGGTTGGCTCGAGCCGGAGTTAGCACAGTGCCCAGGTCTTTGCTGCAGGCTGCACAGGTTGGCCTCAACTCTGCTGGGGAGCAGATGGCGAGCCAAAGCTTGTAGTCACACTTACCTTCCCCACTAAATCCCTAATCCCTCCGTGGACGCTCCTCCAAGGCAGGTTTTTGGAGGCAGAAATAGGGGTTACAATCTGGACCGGCACGCCGCCTGCCAAAACACTCACAACACAGAAATGCAAATTAACTTATTTGTGTTGTCCGCCGGCCAAGGCGCCGCTTCTTTTGCGAGTAATTAAGATACCTTGAAAAATGTTTGTAGAAGATCAATAATTTGAAATAGATAAATAACAATGCGGTTCTGAAGCGGAGTGAGAAGTGAAAAAACGAGGCAAACGTCCTCCTGAATCGGCCGGGGTGACACGCCAAACGCTCTGCAGATGTTAAAGCTAAACATCCATCAGAGAGCAGCAGCTGACACATTACAAACACAAGGCAGGGAGCTGCTTTTATTAAGTTTAGCCTCATGTTTGGCTTCAACTTTATTGGATTATGTCAGTTTACTGAAAACATTTAGGCAGAAGACATTTCTTCTTGAGTTTTAATCACGCTTCTCTTTAGAAAGAATGAGTAAACTTTTTGTTCTGAAAAGAAAAAACGCTTTCAGGTGACTTCACTGAACAGGTTATTTATTGACACAAAAAGTTTGGACACCCCTGATTCAGGTGAGAGTGCTAGTAAAAACTAGCTAAATAGTTAGAGAGAAAGCAATTCTTTCTCACAGACAATGACTACTGTTGCTGTTAGCTGTCAATTTGTTAGCATAACGTGCTAAATCTAAAATGTACGCATGATATGTGAAAGAAAAAGGGACTACATGTCAACTTTTCTACTAAATGTGAACAACTAGATAAGGTAGGAAGGAATCACATTTCACAGATTAGTGAAAAGATTTAATTAAAGAAAAAATATGCTACGCTAGCTTGACTGTGACAATCTTGACATGTAGACGTACTGCAGAATTCTGTGTTTTAGTTCAGTTTGTAAAAAAAAAAAGGCATGAAAACACAAAACTGTAATAGACTGAATGCTGTGGGAAATGTTTGTGTAGTTATTGGTGTTGAATCTTGTTGTAAGTCAGTTGCCATGGTAACGAGTCTCTGTAGCGTAGCTGACACAAAGAGCGAGAAAAAAGTGGTTTTGAGTTTTTAAATGTTTTTTCTGCGTTTTTTTTTCTCCTTTTCTGCGGCAAATTACTCTGAATTAATCATACCTACAACTCCAGGTTTCATTTTGCTAACATTGATGTTTGAGTCGTCTTTTTTCCTCTGATATTGTGTGAAAGCGTAAAATTTCTGCATGTAAACAGTAATATGCAAGACGGAATGCCAAGCCTGGGAATGTAGGTTGGCATTTATTATTGGTTATGTGATTTTATTTACTTTAAATATTCTGCAGATCTTAAATTCTGCATTTAGCGACAGAAACAGCAGCTCCTTCCTCATCTTGCTGATGCAAACAGTTTTTTTTTTCCAGCAGCGTTGTACTGTAAGTCCGAGAGGACCCGAAAGGCCTCTGGGACCAACCAGGCGGATCAAACGACCTCCCGAGTATCGGACCAGATGTCCGTACTGGGCCGGGTTCAGATGGTCCCAGCGAGCAGCGAGGGAAAGGTCAGAGTCACACAGTGGGTTAAACTGGACCCATCATGGAACTGGCTCCGGCTGCAGCGCCGCGCCGCTCATCGGCAGGGATTATTTCAATTAAAGCTCATGCTGGCTGATCGCGGGATTACATCAGGGTTTAGAGTGGCAGGACACATCTGAACACAGCACATGGTCAGCCAGGCAGCTCCAGGGATTATACGGCTCCAGAATGACAGAAACCGAGCCATGCGCACCGGGAGAGTTCGCAACAACACAAACATGAACCATTGTTATTCACGGCTAAACCTTTTAAAATGTGTTTTTGTTTTTTGTTTGTTTGAATATTTATAAAAAACTAAAAGAAATTTTATTTTTTCAGCTAAAATGTATTTTTTTTATCTTAAAATTTATATTTAATGTTTAAAATAGCACAGTTCTTGTAGTCAACTCAAGTTAATTAAAAACAAAAAAAATGTTCATTTAAACCATTTTTACTTGTTTCTGTACGCTACTATATAGTGATAATGTTATAAATTCATTTTAAAGTAATTCGAACATTACATTTTAAAGCTCTAAAGTAGCTATCAGAGCAGGAGCTAAAGCTAATGGTTAGCTTCAAACTTGTTGCAAAAGAACTAAACAGACCAGCTTAGTTGGGAAATGTCCACATTATAGAATGTAAAAACTTTAATAAAATAATTTAGAGATAACTATTTTGACTAATTTTTTGTAATATTGCTGTTTTCTAGAGACCTACATTTATAAATTTGTACACGCTAGGTCTTGCTATCATGCTAGCCAAGGCTAATTTGCTTTTATCTAAATCAACTTTAAAAATTCTTGATGTTTCAGTAATTAAATATCAATTACTCTACATTTTATGCTTTCATAGATTCATGAGGAACTTAACTGGAACATTACTCAGAAAATTAGGAAATTGCTAAAGTTCTAGTTTGAGTTCAAGGTAAAGCTAACGGCTAGCTACATTTTAGGCCTTTAAAACTCAGCCATTGTTTACATTTTAGATGCATTAAAACAAATGAACTTGGAATAAAAATGAAAGCAGTCAGATTTGAAGCCAGTAGTTTGATCATTTTTAGGGAAAGTTTAAATATATTCAAACATTTAGATTTTTTCAGCTGCAACTATACATCTTTTCAGTCAATTATTCTCAGAGGAATAATTACTTTCTTTTTCTTTATTTATTAGATGTTACTGGATTTCCAGTTTCTTTTATTGGTGGAGGTAAAAACAGAAGCTAGTGTTGATTAAAGCCTCCGCTTCTGATTAGTCGATGATGTTTAGCCGCAGCCAGAAGATCATGAAAGGTAAAACCAGCCAACGAGACACTATTAGCCTCTGCCCCCATGTGCTGCATGCATTGCATGATGTGGACATGAATAGCATTAGCATGCAAGCCCGCCTTTAGCATTCATAGCAGCAAGTGGCGACTTCGTCTGGCATTTCACCTGCGGCCGGTCTGGATTGATTGAAATTCGTCGGAGGAGCCGGTGGAGATGTGGCGAAGGCTCACCTAATTGGCCCTGGAGCCCGGCCTAATTTCTGATTCTCAGGAACGTCCACATTTCAAAGCAGGGCTCGGATCAATTAATGGACCGGTAATGTGTCTCATTTTCATACAAGGCGGGAGGCTTAGGGTGGAAAAATCAAATATCAGCCACCTTCAGCAGAGAAAAGTGTGCAGAATAATTCGATATGATTTCCAGCTGTTCAGAGCAGCATCACATGCGGACGATTTCAGCATGCCTCTGGTTTAAACACTCAGTCTGGAGGCTTTTTACATCAGTAGGACTGAAAGATATTTAACTTTTAGCCATAAAAGAAGTAAATTTAAAGGTGAGTCTGTATATTCTCCCAACTGTAATCCTCTAAAATGTATTTTCACAAGTTAGTATGGGATAATAATCCAATCATGCAACAGAAAATATCACTTTTGTCACCATTCTGTGGAACAGAATTACTGAAATGTATCAGCATGTTTAACATTTTCTTTGTTTTAATTCATTTCACAAGATAAGCACCAGAAAAACTATAAATCCATCACTGCCAATGAAGCTTTATACATTAAACAAGTTCAGCTGGAATTTGGAGGCAAAGGTTAGCTAAAAGAAAGCTACCTAGCCATAAAGCTAGCATAGTAAGCTAATATCGTCTTATTTTAAATACATGAAAAAATACTGAAGTTTACATTTGCACCCATGATACTATTTTATAATTATGTGCCATACGCAATAGAAATGTTAGTCAGACTGTTTTTAGCTAGTGTTAGCTAATAAATGATACCTAGCTCAATTAAATTAAAGCTTTAAGAATGTTGAGCATCTTGTATGTCATATTTCGTATGTCATAAATTAATATGTCATATGTAATAAAACAATTTTTAATACATTAGCATTAAATTATTATCATTAGTAGGAATTTGAAATGGTAATAAAAACTACTAATCAGGGATCAGACGAGCTGGTCACATCAGGTCTTAACTATCGGAGCTTTGCTCTCATTAAAACACATTTTTTCTCATAATTTTACAAGAATGAAGTCCTTATTCTTCTATTACGACTTTATTCTTGTAATTTAACAGAAGAATCAAAGTCTGGCCCCAATACTCTGTCATAAAATGTTTCTTAAACTTAGTTTTTAAATAAAAAGAAAAGTTATTTTTTAAGTTAACTATTGCAAAGCTATATAGCTAAGCCAATTTAGCCTTACTTATTTGATTGGAAACGTAAATATTTACAAAACTGCACGATTGAGTACAAACCTACTGATTCTTGTTTTATGTATCATTATTGGTGACAAAACCTAGTTTATCAAAAATCAGTAAAAACAATCATCAGAGTCGAACTAGAGCTACAATCAAACAGCTTTAGAGCCGAGTAAGGCTGCTTTCTCAACAGCAAACCATCTGAAATATGAATGAGCTCTCACTCTATACATCATGTTAGCTGACATGTTGTATTAAAATTTATGAACGACTTCATCAAAAAGCACTTTCTGCCAGACGGATCTGCCCTGACACTCAGGTTACATGGCTGGTTGGAGACGCAGATAAATGTAAGTCACAGGCGAAAGGTGAAGTAATGAGCTGATGCTGCTCTTTAAATCCAGGGTTCCTGCAGATTTTACCAACTCAAACACTTTTTAAGACTCTTATGAAGGAAAGTATATTATGAAAGAAATGGTACTCCTTGTGAGACTAACTTGTCAAACTTTAAAGTCCACAACAGAAATGAGTAAGTTATGGAGGCGAATTTCTGCTTATCCATGACAGATGCACAAAGGTAGCAAGAGCACATTAGCAGCTAATTAGCGGTAGCCACAACTGCCTCAAGTTAGAATGCAAGGTTGTTTGAATAACTCAAACGTTTGAGAGACAGAAAAGTCACAAAGAAACCAGGACAGACGTTATGAAGCAAACTTTACACTTACGCAAAGAGCTAACTAGTTAGCTAGACAAAATCTTGCTAACTAGTTAGCTAGACAAGGCTATATTAGCATCTAGTTAGTAGTAGCCACAACCGCCTGTGTGTGTGACTTACACCTTCGCAAAAAAACCCAAAAACCTTCATGGAATACGAGATTAAAAGACAAAATTTAAGTTAAATTTTAAAATTATTTTAAGGCATTAATCTTAGATACAAGAATTTAAGGTTTTTTAAAGGACACCCTGACCAAAGTAGGGTACATTTTTGAAACTGTGCGCATAATTATTTTGAAAAAAGTAATAAAAATGTGACCAGAAAGCACAACAAGTTGGAGACAAAGTGTTATTTGGTAACCCACTCGTCTCTCCAGGTAAGGAAGTAATACCCGTCATCTGCCGGCCGCTGAACCCTGAAACAGGGGCAGGTTTTCCAGGTCAGCCCGCCATCTGTCCACACAGTCCGTCTCCTGTTTGGACACATCAGCACCTGATTGGCTGGAACCGAGTCCGGGTGGGAAGGTCCAACAGCCGGACCCCACGGGGATCTAACACAAGCGCACAGAGATCATCACAGCTGAGGAAAAGGGAAAAAACGTGGACACGTGTTTACGCCGCGTCCAAGTCAATAACAACGCCTTTTTTTTTTTTTTTTTTTTGGGGGGGGGGGGGGGTTAATGTTGTCCGTCATGATTTGACAGATTTATTAGGACTCTACGATCGCATGCCCCCGTTAATAAAACAGATTATTTATCAGTTTTATAGTCTGTTCTTTTTTATGTGTAATATAAAATACTCTGACAGGTGTTAACAGCTTTCCGAGTGATTAATCTCTTTACCAGTTGAAATGGGAGAAAGAAAAAAAAAACAAATAAAGACACCCAGCAAAGATGGACCCTGAATGACAGTTAACTGCACAGATTATTATTTTCTCATGTAAGCTGCATCCATTTGCTCCCCTCCCTCCGTCCCTCGCTACAGTTCAGCTGTCTGGTCAATGGGACCGGGGCGGGGAGCCAACGCGCGCCGCCAAGCCTCCCTCCCTCCCATCCAGACGGCCTCCTGTTCAGCTGCGCCGCGCGCCGCAGGTTCCAGCCAGGTCAGATGTTCAACACGGGCGACAACATGTTCGCTCCTCACCGCTGTTTACCACGCCTGCCTGTCACCACGGCGACCCAGTGAACTCATGCTGGCGATGGCGTCATGGAGGAGGCAGTTTGGGAGATTCTCTGCTGTAATACCCCAAACTATTAAACGTAATCTGGGTTCTGCAGAGCTGACAACAGAAAACCAGTGGATTATGTAGACATATAAAATAAAATGGACTATAAATGTCAAGTTTTCTTTATTATTCCCTGAAAACAAAATAGGACTGAATTAACATTAAAATATGGTTTAAATTGTACAAAAAGTGGTTGGTGGCTTACATGTTGAGTCTAAATGTGGATTTAAATCCACATTTGTGTTGATTTTGTATTGAATCAAAGTTTAGGGATCAACTCTGGAAAAAAAAACAGGAAACGACTTAAAATGATAGATTTTACATTTTATATTTATATGTTTGAGTAAAATGAACATTTTTCCTTTATCCTATGAACTACTGACAGCATGTCTCCGAAATTCCAAGCAAAAATTTAGGATTTATTAACAGAAAATGAGAAATGGTCAAAATAATTCAACATTGGTTAAACTTTGGCATTTCAATTATTAGAATTCAACCATAAAATGACATTTATTCAACCAATTCTAACCAATTAATCAAATTGTTGGTTGATGGTTGATTAACCATCAATTGTCGACCTCAAACAAAAATCAAAGTTTTTGACCTCAATTCAACATCAGATTAGCATCTTTTACTATCTGGGTTGTAATTATTTTTTACCTTGATTAATGATCAGCTCAACTCACAATATTTTAATAAAATAAGCAAAGAGATCAGATTTCTTTAGGCAATTACTGTAGAGTTTGTGTTATTCAGATTGATCGTCTTTTTCCAGATTTGTTTTTGTGTCTTTTCAGCAACAAGAACAGGATTTTGTTCAGTTTCAATGGTTTTGGTCCCTTTAATTAATAAATTAGATTAAATTGAAACCAGAAACCTGGATGAATACTTTGTGTTGCACCTTATATTTCCCATCTTAGGATTTTGATTGCATCATTTTTAAACTTCAAATTTAGACTATTCTTGAGTAGAAAGCAAGGGCCACCCACTATTGTTCTGAGGGCCCAAAATGGCCCCCGAGCCGTACTTTGGACACCCTTTGCTCAATATAAACCACTGTGTGTATTTTTCAGAAACATTTTAAATGTACTGTATGTTTATAATGGGCATTGTGTTTATTATGTTTAAATGATTACCAAAAACGTTTAAGTGTTAACCGTTGACATCATGTTTATATCGTTACCTGAAACGACGAGTTTTAAAGCGTAAGGATAAATCGTTCTTTAAATCTTACGTTTAACGTCGTGTTTAAACTTGATCACTACAGTCGACATTGAGATTAATCTACAAAGTTTACAAGTTAAATCTATGCAGTGAAAATCATGTTAAATCTACGGTAACATGTTAAATTTAGAAATTTGTTTTACATTGTGCTAAATTTGTAAAACTACAATTAACCTTTTGTTAAATTTGTAACGTTAAAGTGTTAAATCTATATAATTACGGTTAACATCGTATTAAATCTCTGTGGTTTCCAGAGACAATGTGTCTGTTTAGCACACACATTGTGTCCAATCTGTACGGTTGCCGTTGGCGACATGCTAGTGATGATGTATTTAATCTCCACGGTAACCGTTAAATCGTATTTAATCTAAATGACAATAGGAGACAATATGTTTATTAATATATATTACTGGACATTTACAATATTTATATCATTTATAATTCCTGAAGGTCAATGGATACTGATTTATATTTATGCTAAATTAATAATATACAACATAAATTTATTACAAAATGTTTTTTATATTTAAATATCAAACTTGTGTCTAACTTGCTAAACGCTAAATATAATTGAGGTAAATCAGGTGTAAAATGTTATCAAAAAACGTCACTATCTACACAAAACTCTTCCGCACAATAAAATAAACTTTAATAAATAAACTTAAATACTTAAAAATATTTTATATTGATTTTTAACCAAACAGGTGAAACTTTATAAGCTAACTTACATTTTCAAATTTACAAGAAATGTTTCTTTGCAAATTAATATTGATCTGAAGAAGTTTATAAACGGCTGAATAAAGCATAATATTCTACTAAAAACACTAAGTTGTTAGAAATACTGCTATTACATTTTTGAACAAATTTTAAGATAACTGTTATCTTTCTAAAATACTTCCTTTTTTTCCAAAAAAGAAAATAAATTACAATCAAGTAACACTAAAACTAAATTCAATTTTTTTTATTGGAGCTTTTGATACTTTTTTCAACAATCATCAGATAAAAACATAAAAAGGAAAGTTTTAGGTTTTCTGACAGTCCTTAAACATGTCATCACTGTTAAAGTGTCTCAAGATCCAGATTTGACTTTTTATTCATTAAAAGTTTATATTTTTTTAAAAATTACGTTACAATTGCATTTCCATTGAGTTTTTCTCTTGACCACCTTTAATCGTGTTTCTCACTCAAACACTTTTACCTAAAAAGAGAGAAAAAAGGGAAATCGTCTTTTAAATTATTTGACTGCAGCGCCAGTCGTCTTGTTTGAAAATAAGTTTTTAGAAACTTCTCAAATCTGTCGTCACTGACAGTGAAATTAGTTTTAATGATCTCAAAAGTAAAATTATCAAAAGTAAAATTATTGAGACTCTTTTTTGCTTTTCAACAGACTCCTCTCTACTCTAAAAATATAAGTAGATAAATGCATTGTTAATAACGGTAAAAAGCTACAGCTGGCTAAGTTAAAACTTTAAACTGTTTATTCATAAAAATCACCTGTTTGCCATTTTTCCAACTGAACAAACTTTGATCCACCAATAACTGAAAACGCAGGATGGCTCTGCTGTGAGCCGGCAGCACATGTTTCCTGTCAACGGCGTAGTCAAAGGTGCAGGTCGGGCCGCCGCCGCCCAGGTGCAGAGCAGATAGGGTTGCAGCGCGTTAATTCCTGCCCGGCTGTGGGAACGCCAGCTGCCCCCGTATTTCTCAAAATCCAGAACTGTTGTGGATTTGGGCGCCAGCAGAAGGACTCGACACGCAAGAATGAGAGCAGCTCGTTCCCCGAGTCTTCCTTCCCACGTCAATAAAACGAGCGTTCGGTACGGTGGCGAAACCCGACTTCTGTTCTGCAGCTCCCCCCCGCTGACTCGCCGTCTCCTCCCGCCTTGATGGATGAGATCGGATCTTTCTGAGCTCCATCAAAGCTGCAGGATTCAGGGAGGAAGCGCGCATATGCTTGACAGAAAAAGCCTCTCGCCATCTTGACTGAACGTCTGCAGGAACGCCAAACGCTTCCACGGCGTTCCTGCTTAATGCATGCAACCTTTGAACCCTGCTGCTGCAAATGATCCGTAATGAGGCGCAGCGCGACCTTTGACCCTGGTTTTTAACTCGCCTCTGTTCTGGTTCCAAAACATTTTCTGTTTCTATTTTCTGTTGGAAACTGAAACGAGGTTAAAGTTCTGTTTGTTAAAACGAAGCAGAAAGTTGTGGGCAAAGTGTTTTCATCATTTTAGTTTTACATTATTTTACTCTAAATTGTCAAATAATGTTTGTTAAAAAGCAGCAGGAAATTTTTATCTTTCATTTTTACTTGTGTAGTTGTTTTAAATTTGTATTTATAACACTATTTTATTCAATTCTGTAGATGTTTAGTTATATACTTATAGTTATATATATGCCTTTTATTGCAAACATATAATTTCACAATTTTAAACACAAAAACATGCTAGCGACGCATGCCAACAACAGTTTTTAATCTAATGTTCAGATTTCTTTAAAAAATTCTGCTTTTTATTGCACTATTTTGCTGAATACTGCAGCTGTTTAAACTTATACATTTCTAGTTTTCATGTTTTCCTATAATTTATTCATTTTATACACAAAATCAGAAAGTAGCAGTACAATGTGAACAGTTTGTTTTTCTTTTTTAAACTGAAGCATCTGTTGCAAGATTAAAGATCTGAAACTTTTGATTAAAGTGATGAACAAATCTTTAAATTTGACTTGCAATTTATTTTTTGCACGATTATGCTCGATACTGAAGCAGTTTAAAGTGAAATATTTGTATTTTTTTTTGCATGTTCCTGTTATTTCAATGCATTTTATTGTAATTAACATATACTTTAATAATTGTAAACATAAAAACAGAAAATAAAATTTAATTGTCAACTCATTACTAGAACTTTTTTTTGTTTTTGAAAGGTTCAAAATGTCACGTTTGTTTAAAAATTGTATTTATTACACTATTTTACTCAATAGTGTTTAAAGTTATACGTTTGTAGTTTTTAATGTTTTTGTTTTTTGTACTTAAAAGTACAATTTCATAATCTTAAACGCAAAAACATGCTAGCGATAGCTCACATGCTACCTACAGTTTTTAAGCTAAGTTTAAATTTCTTAGCTATTTATTGAACTATTTCACTCAATATTGTAGCTGTTTACAGTTAAATATTTATACTTTCCTGTTATTTCTATGTATTTTCTTGAAATTAAAGATGAGAAACTGAAAACAGAATTAAATTTCTGCACACGTTGGATGTAATTTGACGTTTTGGACTCATTAAATCTCGTTCAGATCCAACAGGTCCCACAGAAATGTTCGTCAACATATTCGTCCGTCGGTGACGAACACACACCGACTGTTGTTGTCGTTTCCGTGGCAGCTTGCGACTCTTCAGCAGGCAGATGTTCACTGTCAGGCGAAGGTCGACCCGCGACGGTTCGGCCACCTCCTGACCCGCGGTGGGAAGCGGCAGCTCGCTCCCGTCGGACTCTTGGAGAGGATTTGGGACTGATAAATGGGATGGATGCGAGCTGAGATCAGCAGAATGGCATCTGCTTCACACACACACACACACACACACACACTCTCTCTCTCTCTCTCTCTCTCGCCCACACACACACACACACTCACAGCAGTCAGAGCTGAGCTGTGACGGAGCAGATTTACAATCTTTTCACTTCACACTGTAAATTTCCATCATTCCAATTAATCCACATCAACCTTCATAACTGTGAAAAGTGGATGTAAAAGAAATTATTCAAGAAAGTATTTGGTAAAAAGTCTCATCAACTACTAACTGATCAAATTATCAATCATTTAATATTTAAGAAATACATCATCAGACGTCCAGAATGTAAACTTAAGTGGAAATTTTGGTTTTTAAGGACCAAAATGACAAACAAAATTCAGGTTTTTCCATATTAATCTTTAACAAAAGCTGCAGGTGTGTTTATGTGTCTGGTGAATTTTTGGTTCAAACATTTTTGTTTTTCATTTAGTGGGTAGAAAATCCACATATTTTACTCAAGTAAGAGTAGAAATACTTCATAGTAAAATTACTGAAGTAAAATCAAAAAGTACAATGCAGTAAAAATATTCCTAAAATAAGAATCAGAGTGATTTTATTGTTATTAAACAGAAGCACAACAAAATCTCGTTTCAGTAAAGCCCAACTAAGGGGTTCCTGAGGGCGCCGCTCTCAGCAGCAGCGGCCAAGTTACCCTACAAAGTTACCCAAGTAGAAGTAACTGAGTAAATGTAACTAGTTACTATCCAACTCTGGATCAAAGTGACGACAAGAACTATTTAGTACTTCGTAAACTATGTTATCAACCGGCTTCATGCAAGTCGTCATCATCAAGAAGTGAAGCAAAGACCAACTTCAGACCCTCCAACACCAAGACCAGACCTTTCAAGACTGGATCTTCTAAGACCGAGACCAGACGGTCCAAGACCGAGAGACCAAGACTGGACTTGACTAAAAAAAAAGTCAGCAAGTTTTGTCTTAATTTAAATGTACCAAGTTATTTGTATGATGAACTAGAGAGGAATAATAATGTTTTATGTTTTTGCAGTGTAATGTGATAAATCACAGATTTCTGGTCTTGTAGAAACGTTCCTCTCTACGTAGCTTCAAACATGTCGATGTCGCGGCCCTAAAACGAGGAATACTTCAGGTAGCAACCGTTCCTGTACTTGATGCTCCGGTTCCCATCAGCTAGAGGTGGCAGAGCAGCAATTGCTCTCTTGGACCTTCGTCAACGGGGGGGATGAGGTGATTCTCAGCTCGTGTGAAACAGTCCTGGCAGCCTGCGCCGCCTCGCATTCATTCCTGATATAAACTCCTCTCCTTTTCTGCGGTTTCCTCCCCCCGGCGATGCAGATAGCACAATAGTCTCACTGAGCGGTGACGATTAACACATAAAAGCGACACGGGGAATCTCACCGCTAGATACGAGCGCACATGAGAGGGGCAAAGCATTCATGCCATGCCAGGAACTTCTGTGGGAGCCCCGTCTATCTGATTGGTGATCTTTTGTTTTGGCGTTGCCCTCGATTCGAGAGAACGTGCCCAATCAGATTACGGCGAGGGAGGCAGAGCGAGAAGACAATCGCTGGTTTCTTTTCACTCCGTCTATCTCCGAGCGGCTTCACTTAAGGCGGCTGCAGATAAGTCAGAGCATCTCCATTTGGAGCTTCAACTTTCACCTCCCCCCTCTTCTTCTTCTTCTTCTTCTTCTCTTTCTGCTTCTTCTTCTTCTGCGGTTTCTGTGCTGGATTAAACTCAAACTTGTGCACAATCAGATGTTCTCGTTCGCTTTAATCCGAACCCTCGAGCGGTGACAGGTAAACTTAAGATAAACGCTCAGAGAAAAAACGAGTCATTTTTTACCCTTTTTGGGAGTAAAAGCTGCGATTTCAAAATTAATTCACAACACATGAAAAAAATAATTTAATTCAATTAGTCATTAATTTACTGTATATAAAATAATACAATAATATATTATTAGTCTTCATTAAAACTAGAAATACTCAAATATTCATTATTTATTGATCTGTCGGGATCCCAATATTCATTTTATATTTAATAATTATATATTTATGCACACATTTTTTATTTATCATTTAATTAAACTATTTTAATAATTTATTAACCTGTTAACATATTGATTATAATTTATTCTGACATATTTACTATCTGTTGGTTTAGCATAATTAATTTTTAATTACCTGATTTTTTTATTATTCTATCTGGAAGTTTTTATTGAATTGAGTAAAGATATTTTAATTTTTTATTTATTTAATCCATATTTTATTTTATTTGAATAATAATTATGTTTATTTACTCAGCAATTCTATTAGTTTTGAATGAATCCATTTATTATTGATGAATTTATTATTTAATATTCATATGTTTGTCTGATTGTGTTTATTTATGCAGCATTTATTTACTAAATTGATTTTCAGTTTATATTATGAGTGAATTGACCAAATTATTTATTAATCCATGTAGTTTTGCTTTAATATTTTTATTTATTTTGTGATAAATGTGACATTCAGACTCATTTCCTTTTAATTTCTGACATTAAACTTTAAGTTTAAAAGTTTTCTGAGGAGATATTTGTCGTTGAGGTCAAAGTTCGCTCTGTGCTCCCTGAGGAGGATTTTTAGCTAATTAAGGCTCTTTGGTTTACATTTTGCTGCTGCAACAGTTCAGATAAAAGTGAGCGGTTCCTCTACCTCTTGTGGGATTTCCGAGCCAAAGCCCCGTGTTGGTGCTGCCTCCGCCGGGAGAAGATCCAGACTCCATCACACCTCCGAAACATCAGGAGCCAATATGCTGCTGCGCATCAGATCACACCTTAAAACTCACAAATCTTAGAGTAGCATAATATTTTCCGCTGTGTTGACCTGAGAGAAGATGATAATTACCTTAAACGCTGGAAGAAGCACCACATCTATTTCCACTTTAGCCCAAAATGAGCTTTCTGAGGCGACGTTTGAGCCAAACATTCAGAGTATTCACAGATCAGCCCCTCGTTAAGCAAGAGAAGCATTTGATTTTTAATTCAGCCCATCGTCGGACACCAAACCCTCCAACAAAACCAGAAATTATTTAAGACCTGGAAGCAGTTGAAAGACGATTCATTCTCCTCTGCTTCAAATATTTTCCCTTCATGAAGCCACAGCTGCAGCTTTGCAGCTCGGTTTTCTCCGCAGACAGCAGTCAGCGTGAGGATGAGCCGCAGCAAGAGGCGGCTTTCAAACTGTAGGGAGCAGCAGTCGTCTTTCAAACAGGACGGCAGCGGAGGCCCGGCGCCACGAACCCAAACGACGAGGAGGAGGAGGAGGAGGAGGAGGAAGACACGTGTAATTACAGACTACATACCAACACCCAGTCGTAATTTACATTAGCTGGAAAAATATTAGACAAAGATTGTTTTTATCTACACGACGAAGAGAACCGATTCACACGTTCATCTACGGACAGTGACATTGCTATTCGATGGCGTCACAAATAAGCAGAGCAGAACGACTTCAACATATTTCTATGGAGCAGATTTACAATCTATTCACTTCTCACTGTTTATTTACAACATTCTGATAAATCCACATCAACCTAAACGACCAAACACAGTTACTTTTTATAATAATTTATATTTTATACACAAAGCAGCTCCATTCAAAGCTAAATTTTATAAATACACATAAAAGCAACTAGAAACTGTTTCCAATGCAGAATATCTAACAGTATTAATGTAATAATGATAAAAGAAGAAGTGGGTAAAGTACACGAAAATGTACTGAAGTGAGAGTAGGACTACTTCAACGTATTCTAACTCAAGAAAAGGAAAAATTAAGTAATTACTCAAACAAGAGTAAAAAAGTATTTGGTAAAAAGTCTACTGAAATACTGAGAAACTAATGAAATTATCAATCGTTTAATATTTAAATATTACATAATCGGATGGACCAAGATAGAAAGATAAGTGGAAATTTTGTTTTTCTAAGGACTAAAATGACAAAAAAAATAACAAAAACAAAATCAGGCAAAATAAAAATGTCCAAATCAGTTTCTTTCAAATTCAAACTTATTAAATTGCAGGTCTGTGTCTGGTGAATTTTTGGTTAAAACATGTTTGTCTTTCATTCCGTTTGTAGAAAATCCAGAAATTTTACTCAAGTAAGAGTAGAGATACTTAAAATTAAAATTAAAGTAAAAGTAAAAAGTACAGTGTGGTAAAAATATTCCTAAAAGTAAATTAAAAAAAAAAAAGTTACCAAAGTAATTGTAACTAGTTACTAACCAACTCTGCAATGTTGGTTTCATCTCCGTAAAGATGTTGGTAAATCAGAATGCGACTGGAAGAGATAACGTACAGCAGAACAGAACTGGGCCAAACACAGAACCCTGAGGATCCCCAGCTGAAATGATAACAGAACCAGACATGACCTTTTGGTTACTTTGATATACAGAGGCATTCGTGGTCACTACATTCTACATTTTACCCCTGAAGTTAAAGTTGATGTCTTTCCATCTTGGCATTGTGTTGCTCCATACAACCTAACAATTAAAAACTGTAAAACTGTTGGGCAGTTCTCTACAACTGAAACCCAGTAAAGACCAGATAGGTTTACAGAGGGTTTACTTTCTTTTTCCCCCAAAACTGTATGTAAAGGTTTACATTTTCCATTAATTGAACTCCGTAGATTTGCGGTTTGGGTTTTAGGTGCTGAAAGGTTTCACTGGTTGGGTAAAAATCAGTTTCATCCTGTGTTTTTCTTCAAGTTCATGTAGATTACACATTAAAGTCACTAATAATGCAACTTTATGTCCGATTAAAGTTTCCACTGATGACGATTTTCCATCTTCCAGAAGGAAGCTTCCAGATTATCCATTTCTCTTTTTCGTCCCCGTCTGAAGATAAAGCCACGGTTTCATGAAAAGACTGATGCCTCCTTGTCATGTGGGCCGCATGAATATGGGAAATGAAATCTCAAATTGATGGAAGACTTTCAATTTTAAGTCACTGTTGGACTTCCATACCCAAAGGCCGGCGCTGCATATGAGAACATCCTTTTATCATCTCCCTGCACCTGAAACAGACCCAGTTACCGTCTAACAGGGCATCGCATGAAGGAGACATTAGTAAATAACCATCAGAATGTACTTCATAATGCTTTACGGCTGCCATTCGCTGACATTTATAGATCACTTTTTAGTAGCGGGCCAATGAAACACCGGCTTAGATATAAAGTCGGCCATGATTCATGTCTGCCGTTGTCAGTCTTACATTAATATTATGACCGTATCCATCATGTCGGCCGTCCATAATGAACAGATGCTGTAAAACACAATTTGGCCTGACAAGAGGGAGAGGTGGAGGGGGAGCAGCGGTTCGCTGGCCGTTTAGACGGGAAGCAAAACGAAGAGCTTCGCCTCCATGTTGGTTGGTAAAGTTTGGCCTTTTTCCATTAAATCCTCCCCAAAACCAGACCTGCTGACGTCGAGTATGACCTAGTCATCCCTCTCTATCTGTTCCAATCTTATTCAACTATCCACCATTACATCTGGCACTAAGCAGCCCCAAAGCATGATGGTTCCACCACCATGCTTCACAACTGCTACATTTTTCTGAGGATTTTGGTTGATTGGGATCGTTGTTGATGAAAACCCAAAGCTACGTTACTGTAGCTCTTGAGTTAGCCATTAGAGTTGCTTTTCAACCATAATAAATAAAAAAATGACCAACATATTTGATGGTACTCATCAAAAGGTAGTATCTGCTACTGGTTTTCTCAGTTGTTGACTGCATGATGACTTTTATTTTGACATTTTTATGATGTGAAGTGCTTTAATATGTTTTAGATAGCAATGCTAGCTGTGGCAGCATGTTGGAGTTACTATTATCTTTGAACCCAAAGAGGAAAAATCAAGAGTTTTTACAGCCAGAAACTACAAACCAGGCCTGAAATCTGGGTTTAGTCATGAAGTTGAACCTCCAGAGTCACATAAAGATGGTTACAAAGTCAGCCTTCTATCACCTGGAGAACATTTCCAGGATTAAACGACTAACATGTCGATCTAGAGAAACTCATCCAGGCATTCTGGTTCTGCTCTGCATCCCCAGAACCAGAACCAAACACGGAGAAGCAGCATTCAGCTTCTATGCACCATAAATCTGGAACAAACTTCTAGAAAACTGCAAAAAAGCTGAAACACTAAGTTAGTTTATAACCATAATAAATGAAAAATTGACAAACATATTTGATGATTTTATCGATGGGACTTGACAAAATGTAGTGTTTGCTACTGGTTTCACTTTATAATGTGTTTATTTTGTTTTTATGATGTAAAGCACTTTGAACTTGATTGATTGTCAGGAAGCCTTTACTTCCTGGTTACTTTACTGATTAAACAGAAATATTTCTTGGTATAACTGAACTTATCAGACAAATAAAGGTGAATAATTACAGTACTTGGATAATTCCTCTGAACTGCCTCCTGATGAGGCTCAATACTTTCTGCTCAGCTAAAAAAAATCCACACTTGGCCTTGGTCTGTATGCAAACATCCCCTCCTATCCCCCCTCCTCCTCCCGTTGCTGAGGGAAATTTTATTTCCCGCTAATGCAACAAATGAGAAACGGCGATCCGGGCCTGGGGAAACGCTCCGACCCGCCGACTGATGTTTGAGCATAAGCCTCTCGTTTAAAAAAAGCACGTTGATTCTCCATACCCCAATATTGACCAGCCATCTCTGTTTGATGTATGCATGCAAGTAAGTAACCCTCCACCCCATCCAAACACACACTGACACATTCATTAACCCCCCCGCTGCCACGCAGACCCAGTGTTTGGGCTTAACTTGTTAGTTCTGCTTCCGATGCCCCGAGATATTAACGTGGGGGCCTGGATGGGCTGCGTCTGCATCTGCAGCGCCGAACTTCGTCACGTCCATCATTTCCCACAAGCTCTGCCTGCAAACATCAGGACACAAAGCTCTCCGCGGAACCGACAGATTGGGTTTATCAAATGCATTAAATTGGAGCAGATGAGCTCTGTGAATTCCACATTCGGGCGTGAATGCTAAATCTGCGTTTGGCTCGTTAGCGTCCATTAACTTTTCAGACAAACAAATTAGATGATTCCTTCCATCTGCCATTTGTTGATTTACCTCAATTTTACACACAAAAAGAAAGTGAGTTCAAGTTTGAAGATTTGTTTTCCACAGAGAAGTATTACTTTCAGCTGCTAAAGGGAAGCAAGATGGCTGCCGAAAAGACACAAAATTAAAGATTTGTCTTAATTAAAATGCTTTGAATGGTATTTAATTGCTCCTATTCTTTAATTATGACTATGCTTATTTTTGTTTAATTTCACAACTCGAACTCACGCGTCATTGCCAGGAGTGTAGAATCAAGAAATCACCTAACAAGAACCTGTTTGACAACATGAAGTAGGCCCTGATCCAAAAAAAAAATGATTTTTTTGCTATCTAAATCAATACATTTTTTTGGTTCTACTTCAAGAAATATTTGAAAGGAACTCAGTGATATTCTTCCTCGTTAAACTCCATTCAAAACAGGGTTTAAAATTGTGGAAGTGCATTGCAAACCCCAATACACTGCAAAAATACACAATCTAATCAAATAATTTTGGTCTAGTTTATAGTGCAAATATCTAAGTGCACTTGAAATACGACAAAACTAACTTACAAGTAACTTTTCAGCAAGACATAAGAGCTTGTTTTATTGACTTGAATTACTGACTTGATTACTTAAGACAATAATTATTTAATATTGATGAAAAGTACCAAGACATTTTTCCAATAAGTGAAATAATCTGCCAATGGAAGAAGTACTTTTCATCAATACTACATCAAGCAAGCTCCTTCAATCTTGTTGAAAAGATACTTGTAAGTTAGTTTGTCTCATTTCAAGGCTTCAAATATATTTGCAATAGAAACTAAACCAAAATGACTTAACCCAATTTTCTATTTTTGAGTGTAAAAGTCAACAACAAAACTTTTTTTTTCCCCAGCAGCCATTGTACAGTGCACACAGTGGGTAAAACCAGCTTTATTTATTTTTATTCTTAACACCCAGTTGTCTCTGTGTCTTTCTCCTATATTTTTCATATTTATTTATTTGAAATATATTTATTGTTATTTATTTATTTACAATGTCTTCGAGAAAAGCTTTTTTTTTCTTTTCGTTGTGCTTTCTTGCAAAGTAAACAATAAGGTAATTCTGATTCTGATTACCAAACGTACTGGTAATTGGGTTGCCAGGTAACAGGCGGAACTCTGCTGGGGTTGCAAGGTAACGGCACAGAGCCTACTGATTACATTCTGGAAGTTTCTTTTAAG